GTATCCAGAAAACATCAAAGATAGTATTAGAAGTGTTATATCAAGTAGTCTATAAAGAGTAGAATATAATAGTCGGAGAAGAAAAACAGTGAGAAATAAAATTACAAATTATAAGAATATAATAGAAGTCTTTATTTATACATGAAGAAAACAAATTTCTGGTCATTAATAGATAACAACGGTTAAACCAAAAAAAGAACCGCTATAATCATTTCGTAAAAACAGGTGTCAAAGAGCATGAAAACCATATGAAGATCGAACCAAATACCAATAGACAGTAAATATATTAGAGACATATACTAGAATCAAAACACGTGGCCAACAAAAACACAATGCTATGGTAACCATGTTAAAAAAATTCTAGAAAAAATCAATGTTTATCCCGAGAAATAAAACGGGAGAAAAAAAACCATCGATAAATTTTTTTTTTCAGCTAATGAAAATTTTTTTCCCTCATACTTCTAACATAAAATTCATACATGCTGAAATGAAGGGAAGAAAGAAAAGGAAAAACTGAAAAAAAAAAAAACCGGCAAAAAGAAAAAAAGAGGAGAAAAATATAGATATCCCTGGTGAAGAAAAAAGAAAAACCCCCAAAAAATAAAAACAAAGGAAAAAAAGAGTGTAGAAAAATTGTTAATACAAATAGAAGAAAAAAATGTAGAACAAAATAAGAAAAAAAAATAGGGGGCGAAAAAAAAATAACAATCTTGAACGAAGAACAAAAAAAACTCCAAAAAAAAAGAAACAAAAAAAGAGGAGGAAAAAAACAGGAAAAGAACAGGAAAAATCCAGACGAAGAAGAAAAATGGAAAGAAGTAAAAATCTTTCATTTCCACTGAGAGAACAAAAGAGGAAAAAATCGGGGAACTTATTTTCCACTGAAAACGTCAGAAGTACGAAAGCCAACAAATTTTCATTTCCATCAAAAACATAAAAACTATGAAACCCTAAAAATTTTCATTTCCACCAAGAGAACAACTGGTGAAAAAAAAACCTACCGAAAGGAAAAATGAGTAGAAACTTCATCGTAAGGGAAATGACGAAAAAAAAGAGTAGAAAACGAAGAAACAACATATAAGAAATGAAAACCAAAGAGTGTTTTCATTTCCAGTGAGAAAGCAAAAAAAACGTTAAGAGTCAAGCAAGAGTCAAGCAAAACATTCCCACCAAAAACATCGAAGCAGCAGGCAAACAAAGAGAAGAGGCCTAGAAGCTTCAGAGAGAGAGAGAAAAGACTAAGGCATAGTTCACTTTGCGGATTTGAGTTTTCAATTTGAGCTTAAACGTGACATTTTCTGAGAGCTTTTAACTGTAGCAGAAAAAGTTAGATGTGACATTTTTTGAGAGGTTTTAACTGTAAAAATTTAAAACTGAAAATTCGAATTGGTGAAATGAACGAGACATAATATAGCCAGCCATATTAACCAACCCGTGTAAAAGAAACTAAGGGCAAAAACGTTAAATCACATGACAAATCTGGAGAAGGACACAACGGGTATCAAAAGAAATGAAACACAAAACAAAAGGGCAGAAGAGACCGAACACTGTTCTAAGAACAGTAACTTGGGTGCCTCTTTTAGTAGTATGTATAATATATATATATATGATATTAAATTATATATATATATTATTTGGCTAACGACGGTGCCCTAATATTTTCTTGAGTCTTAAGACTTTAGTATTTTTTGTTTCTAAACGTTTTTTTTTTCCTCCTTATAATTAAGTTCTTGAATTTCTAAAAGTAACAATAACTCAAAGAGATTTTTTTTTTTTTTTTTAACGGGAATATTACTAGTATTAATCAAAAGCAGTCATATCAGCACTTACAAAAAATAACAATACAATTAGAATAATCTTCTAACTACTATTTATCTTCAACTAAAGAAAACACCAACTTTGCTAATGTGTAGACAACCCTATTACTATCACGAAAAATGTGGCTACACGTATCACCATTAGCCTCTTCCATTAAAATCTTGATGTCATTTAGAATAAGAAAGTCCGCAACACTAGAATGAACTACATTAACAACTCTTACTGCATTGATTGAGTCACTCGCAATAAGTAAAATACAGCGGCCACTGTCCTAGCACGTCATCCTTCTCCTCTGCCGCAAGGGACAGAGACTTCCACCGATTGACCATATCATCCATCGTTGCACAACAAAACCTTAATCTCCAAGAGGAAAGAAATCGAACACTCACTAACGTGAGACTTCTCCTTTCTTAGGGTTTACGACCTTGAGAGACTTAGTTGGGTCAGCTTATCTCGAATCTTTTTCCATAACAAAAATTTCGAGTCAACTTTTTGAGATTTCTCACAAATTTAAGGATTAAAAATATACAAATAATGTTCTAGGGACTAAATATTAAACTCTGAAAAACTGAGGCGCATAGATGTTAAAAATAATTTTATTTTTGTTTAAATGAGCGTGTTTGGTATCAGTTCCGTTTTCATTTTTCACGTTTTTTGAGATAAAAAAGTAGAGATTGAGGAGGAAAATGCGTTTGGAGAAAAAAAATGAAAAAAAATGAAAACAAAAACGGTTTTTAGTTTAGTGTAACATGGCTTAAAAACTGAAAACGAATTTAAGTCGTTTTTCATTTTCAGTTTTGGGTGGATGCCTTTTTTTTTGCAAATAGTTGTGGACTTAAATGAACTAACGAAGTGCTTTTAAATTAAAAATAAAAATTGTATAACCAAACAACATTTTAGTTTTTTCTTATACTAAAAATAATATCTTAATAAAACTACTAAATGCATTTTCAAAAACGATTTCTGTTTGAGATTGAAAACACTTTTATTTCCAATTTCATACAAAAAAAACAGAATTATTTTGAAACTAATTCTAAACACACCCATAATATTTTTTTTTTTTAAATGAAATTGCTTTCTTTATTCAATCAGAACTAAATCAGCTCATACAAAATAATTGATAAATCTCATGCTAGAATCAAGCCAAAGACAATCTGAAGAACTAGAAAAAGCAAAAGCCGCTAACACGTGGGTTACATAATTCTCGGAAATGTAACAAAGAGAACCACAAGAACTGGACTAGTGACACTTCTTCTCAAACTGCAAAGCACTCTGCAATCTGTGGTGAGAAGCAACCTTATTTTTAAAAATTAAGGATGAAAGAGTCAAGTGACAAGAAATTTAAGGGCAGTATGAAAAAAGCGTAAAATATGCTTGTAAGGGTTTTCTATGATTTTTTTTAAAAAAACTTTAATTGATAAGATTGTATGACAAAGAAAATTGCACTGGTTTATTGATTGTTTTTGGTTGTTTCTTTTGAGAATTTTATTATGATTAGGTATATGATAGAAATAGATCCTCTTCCCTTGTCTTTAATCTCTCTGACTTCCTCTGTTCTCTTTGTCCATCTCTCTTTCTCTTTGATTAGTTTAGAAGATAAATAAGTTCAAAGATTTTCACCAAATTCATTGTTTTTTTTTTCCGTAAATAATTGTTGAAACTTGAGGTTGTTTGGTTGGGAGATTCGTCTCCTGATCAAATGATAATTCGTGATTCGTTATAGTATTTTTTCTCACAAAAAATACACATAAATTAAAAATAATTATAATTACATGGTTCTAATCTATGAATCAAACGTCTTTTTTAGTAAGTTATTAGTGGATTGATAAATTCTTCTGTTATTGAAGGCAGAGGGGGAAAAAGGAAAGAAAGAAGAATAAATCATTAATGGGTTAATAAATAATTTTGAATAAATAAAGATTCCATAATAAATAATATGTGTGAAATCTAATTACACAAATACGATAATAAATAATATGTATGAAATCTTATTACACAAATATTATAATTCCAGAACTTTTACGGTAAATATGGTTCTTTTTAGATATCAATAGAAAATGTTATTTTCACTGTTGAGTTAAGATTTTAATACTCAAAATCTGTGAATATCCACCTTAAAAATTTATAACACTCGGTGTAAAACTCTTACAATCACAAATTAAATTATTAAAAATTATGTAAATATTAAAACAATATTATTTATATGTCTATATCTATATATAGTCAACAAGAACAATCTTACATTTCGTCTTTGGAGACATCATTTTTATACCACCGCATGGAAACGAGAACATAAATAGAAAAAGGGCAACTTTAAAAGAAAAAAAAAATTGTCATAATCGCCACATAATTACTCAAGTGGTTGTAACTTGTTTTGTTTTCTCCTCTTCTTTTCTCGTCTTATCAACTTTTCTCACGTTTTGTTTTGTTTTGTTTTGTTTTTTTTGTTGTCTTTTATTTTTTATTTTTTGTTAGAGCTCCGTGGTCATTCTCTCGTCTTCTTGTTTTGTTTGTTCTCCATTTGTCTCTTTCTTTCCTGTAAACATCATATGTTAAATTTTTATTAAATTTTGTTAAAACACTTGAAAAAATTAGGATATTTTTTCTGCTGAGACCTCATCTTAATAGTGCACACTTTTTATGTGATCAAAATCACATTAAAATTACAAAAATATATAAAATGAACAATTTTGTCACAATTTTAATTAATAAAAAATGAAAACCCATCAATAGTTCCTTTTTTCAAACTCTATGATAAAAATCTAGTTCAATTTTCCAACCCTACGATAATTTCTGTATTTTTGCTTCCGTTTTGATAAGATTTGACCAAATTCATTGCTTAGAAAAGCTTACAAGTCATTTTCTATTTTTAAGAAAAATTTCTATTTTCACGATAAAAAATCAATCGATTTCCTATTTTTACTCTAAAAAAAAAAAAAAAAAAAAACGTGACATGTAAGGCAAGGAAAGGACGAACATTAATGAAATCGCGTTGCGTGGCTACTGGTTAATCAAAACTCAAAATTAATAGAAAAGCCGCGTATTTCACTACTAAAATTCCAACCAACGTACTTTCTCTGAAAATTCCCAATATCCCCTTTTCTCTCCCTATATAACAAGAAATTGAATATCTCCTTTTTCCACAAATCTTTTACTCACATATTTTTCCTTCCGCTTCGTCTTCTTCTTCGTCATATTCTTCTTCTTCTTCACTCAATTAGGTCACTTTCTCTCTCCTCTCTTCTCTCTCTAAAATTTTCCTGCAAAAATGGTGCGATTGAGCAACAATCTGGTCGGAATTCTCAACTTCATCACGTTCCTCCTGTCGATTCCGATCCTTGGCGCCGGAATATGGCTGAGCAAGCAAGGCGACAGCGTCTGCGAGAAGTTTCTCGAGAAGCCGATCATCATCATCGGCGTCTTCCTCTTGCTCGTCTCTCTCGCCGGCCTCATCGGCGCCTGTTGCGGCGTCTCGTGGCTCCTCTGGCTCTACCTTGTCGTAATGTTCTTCCTCATCGTCATCCTCTTCTCCTTCACGATCTTCACCTTCGTCGTCACCAACAAAGGCGCCGGGAAAGCTCTCTCCGGCAAGGGATACAAGGAGTATAAGCTTGGAGATTACTCCAATTGGCTGCAGAAGAGGGTTAACAACAACAAGAACTGGAACAAGATCAAGAGCTGTCTTATTGATGGCAAGGTTTGCTCGGAATTTCATCAGGAGTATATTCGCGACACAGTCAATGAGCTCTACTCCGAGCATTTAACTGCGATTCAGGTATAATTCATGCTTTAGTTTTTGATTTATGTTATTCTGTTTCTATGAGATCTGAGTTCGAGATTTTGGAATTTCAATCGAGAATTTATCTGGAATTTTGTTGTTTCATGCTTTGTCTTCTGTTTGGTTTATCTTGTGATGTTGCTGTTGTTGTTTTTTTCGCCCCTTTCTTTAGATATAATACTTGTAAAATTTTAAATTGATAGCGCAGAGGTTCTTTGTTTCTGATTTTGGCTTTGTGGAGAATTTCAGTCGATTTTGTTATAGGTTGTGCATATTTTCGGTTTTTCCCCTCCTTTGAGATCTGAAACGGTTGGGTTTTCAAACAATCTTTCATGTTCTTGGTGTTTTTCTGAGTTTTATACCCGTAGGTTTGAACAGAAATTTATTTTTTTTAGGAGAAACTCCGTAGCAAAAGCTTTAATTGAGAAAGTTAGCTGAATTTTGGTTGTACGTTTTGTTTTGTTTTGTTTCAAAAACTGAAATGTAACGAAAGGTATGTTTTGGTTGGTGGAGGTTGAACTAAAGGTACTTTACAAAGTTATCCATATAATAAGAAAAGAAGACCTGCTCTATTTTCCCTTTTGGAGATTTAAATTGAACTGCTCTTTTTTCTTTAGTAAAATTGTTCACATGTCTTCAACCAACTCTGATGTTGTATTGTAAAATCAGTTTTGTCTTGTCGTTTAGAACATGGTTTTTGACTTTAACAATTAAAAGGCTTTACTCTTTTCGTAATCCCTCTCCCCTGTAACTTTTGTTCAATTTTCTAACATAGCTTTCCGTGAATTCCCTTTTTAACTACTTATGCTTTTTCTTTATTTGTTTTTAAAAAAGTTGAGTTCTCATAAGTCATAACCTTCTTTTTATCTGGGGGATAAAATTATTGCTCTTTTCTCCCTAAAGATATCTAATTGGGTGATTAAAGAATGAAATTGTTAGTCGGTACATTGATGATTTACATACTCTTTGGTGCCTATAGGTCTATCTATGGGATTTTATTATTATTTTTATTATTTTATTATTTTATTTTATTTTTTATATTCTTATGGAGTAAATTCCATCCCAAAGTGTTTCAAGGGTATTGTGGCATAACTTCTATTTGATAATAGGTGCGGGTGTGGGATTTCATCCAGCGCATTTCAGTCAATGGTTTCTAGTGGCACATAAAATTCTTGGTCTTGTAGCGTGTGGATAAAAATTCAGCACTTTTTTGTGAACATTATGATAGAGAACAACTTGGAACTAACTTCTAGTGTGGAAAGTTGTAACTTTCTTGTTCTTTTATTACATGGTATATGTATCTTATCCTTTTTAGTTCCTCAGTTGTGCTTCTATTGTGCAATTAGTGTTTTGGAATGACTTTATTCATCTTTTCACCGTGCGATTTTCCACTTTTATCACGAGTAAATACGTCTTCGTATGTGTATATATTTGTCTGTTTTTTTGTAGCTTATGTTGATTATTATGTTATGAATAGTTTGAATCAGTTGATAACTGGCATTATGATGTTTTGTTGATCTGCAGTCTGGTTGCTGTAAGCCATCCGATGAATGTAATTTTACCTACGTGAGCCCTACTGAATGGACAACGGCGAATTCCACATCTTCCATTCCTGACTGCGGTGCATGGGGCAATGACCCGAAAGTTCTGTGCTTTAACTGCCAATCATGCAAAGCTGGAGTTCTGGACAACCTAAAGAGTAACTGGAAGAAGGTCTCTGTGGTCAACATTATTACCCTCATCTTCCTCATTATCGTTTACTCCGTGGGCTGCTGTGCTTTCAGGAACAACCGGAGGGACCACGCTTATTGGAAATGATAAAAGAGGCTGGATTAGATATTAGGATGTAGATTTTGCTTAGGAGGCTTTCTGTGTTTAGATGGATTCTATGTGAGTCACCAGCATATGGGGTTTTCATTCTGTAAAGCCTTTTTGGTTCCTTCTTTTTCTACCATGCCATACAGGCTTAACTTCTTAGAGAATATGTTTCTATTATAAATGGAGTTATTATATGATGGTTTCATTGATTTTTTATCTTTCATTATTGGCTCAAAATTTTTACAGGTGAAAATTTTTACCATTGTTTTTGTCCTTTGTGCCTGAATGCTCATTTATAAGGCCTTAAATGATCACTAGAGTACCTTTGCTGTTTCTATTTCTTCCACACAAGGATCATATAAATGCTATCCTTATGGATTGAACGTTGTGGTAGTTGTGATATAATCTAGAATTCAATATACTTTAGGAATGTTTGGTAGTAATTCTTAGAGCTCAAAATCAATTCTCTAGCCATCACAGTTGAAATTTGTGTTTGGTAAAAATTATAAAAAGTGATTCTTAAAGAATTTTTAAAGAATTTACCGTTAAAATCAAAAGCAGTCTAAAGGCAAATTTAGTTTTTAAATTGTACGGTAATCACCTTGAAGTATAATTAATGAAACTTTCATAATACTTATAATATCCATAGAATCAATACTTGTATAATTACAGTTTACTAAACACTCAACTGTTTTTTGTAACAGCTGTTTTTCTTTTCAGTATAGCTAATAACAATTTTTTTAAAATCTACAGCACTACTAAACTGGCCATTTGACTTATTGCAACAAAGATTTGAAACCAATTTCCGTTTTATTTTAGGGGCGTTTTTTGATAGTCCTGTATAAATAGATTATCGATAGTCTTTTATTTTTCAACGGTAAGATCTGTATTAAAATCTATCTGTATTGTATAATTTTTCAATCTAACGTGATTTTGATGAAATTTAACGGTAAAAAATTAAAACTATCGTACGACAGACTATAGAGAAACTCTATTTATTTTATTCCTTAGTTTTAATTGCTGTTTTTTACTTTTGAATCTCTTAACAATTATTCAAGATGCTGGACCAAAAAAGAAAAACCGTTCAAGATGCTAATAATTGGTAATTTGCTAGGTGGTCCCATCATTATTATACTTTTAGAGAAGATAATAATTTTATAAGAAGTAATCTTAATAAATATTTTTTAAAATGTACGACATGATTCTTATTTTTTATTTGAATTCATAACCTTTTTAATTAAATAATTACATTAATAAAAGTTATTTATAAAAAATAAAAGATAAAAATTTAGACGCATACACTCTTAAAAATAAATTATCCGTATTTTTTTGTTAGGCGATTAGACCTAATGGGTGCGTTTGGAATTGGTTTTAAAATGATTTTATTTTCTGTATGAAAATAGAAATGAAAACGTTTTCATTTTCATTTTGGAATTATTTCTGAAATGCGTTTGGTAGTTTTATTCAGAGATTGATTTCAGTTTTAAAAAAAACTGAAACTGCGTTTGGTGGTTTAATTTTTGAAAACATGTAATAATATTTAAATTAGTAATATATTGAATAAATAATAATATTAAATAAATTAAATAAATATTATTATTAAATATATTAAATAATTAATATATTATAAACATGATTATATATGAAAACTGCAGGGGAAGA